GCTGAGCGGAGGGGCGGCTGGGGGCCGCGGCGCCGGCCGCCACCCGCTCCCCCGCCGCCGTCCCAGCCCCCAGCCCCGTCGTCCCAGGCGACACTCCCCGCCGCCTCAGGATTCTCTTACCGTCTTCCAGGGCTCTCAGGAGGCTTGTCCCCGGGGAGGCTGCACCCACTCACCTCCGACTAGCGACCTCTAGGCCCCGACGGGACTCGCAGGGCTGCGTGCGGTTTCGCTCAGGTTTCTCCCATCTCGGACTAAAAGGGCTCACGCTGTCAACCCCGCCTCGGCTCTAGTCCTCCGAGCGCCGGCCCGTCGCGGCCCCACACGCCAGGTCAAGCCTTCGGACAGGGCAGATCGCAGAGCTCCGTTTAGTCACCTGTCCGCGCGTCCCTGCCGCCCGAGCAAGCGGCCCGGCGGGGCGGGCATCGAGGATTTCCGGGAATCAGATAAACAGATGTGGAATCGTAGCTCTGAAGTGACAGATTAGAGTGTTTACGATAAGGAGGTCTCGACTTAGGTGGGGCAGGAAAGGTTTTCCTGATGGGCTGAAGCTTGGTGAGATCAGATTCCGTTTACCCAGAAGGGATCGGATCCCTGTACCAGCCGCCAAAAACGAAAACAAAAAATACAAAGAAGGGAGGGAAACGCTCCAAGCAGAGGGAATAGTGTGTGCAAAGGCCGCGTGGCAGGAGGAAACATGATGAGTACAAAGGCTGGAGACTGAGGAGTGTGAGAGACACCTGAATGGAGTGTGGTGGCAGCTGAGGCTGCAGCCAGACGAAGCCGGCTTTAGTTGTACTGAGGAGTTTTGTCCTCATCAGGAACTAAAGGAAGCCAGTCAAACATCTTAAGCTCAAGTGAGTCAAGGTCAGATTTGCATTTCTAAAAGGTAGCTCTGCAGGGGGTGCCAGAGTGGATTAGGGTAGACCAGTTAGGCTATTGCAATACTCCAGGCGGGGAGAGAAAGAGACATGGAAGACCTGTATAACAGGCAAAATTGAGAGCTTGATTTGGGGTTGGAGGGGAGAGGGGAAAGGGAAGTGTCAAGGTTTTTGGCTGCATAACTGGATGAATGATGATGCCATTCCCTGACCAAGGTCCCTGGAAGATAATCACCTTGTTGTGTGCTCGGGGAGTGATCATGAGTTCATTTTAAACGCACTGAGTTGGAGGTGCCTTTGAGACGTCTAGTTGCTGTCAAGTGGGCAGCGGGATGTATAGGCCCTGAGCTTAGATAATTCTAAGATGAATATAGTAATACTGAAGCCATCTATTTCCAGGTGGTTATTGAAATGTGAGCAGATGAGATTGCCTAATAAAAGTTTGTAGAGTGAGAATAGCTCAAAGCACAGATAGAGGGGAGGGCCTTAGCAGAATGGACTGATCTCTAAGAGCAGAAAGAAAGAGGACGGATGCAGATATACATAGGTTCATATGTTTGATTTCTAGAAAATGAGACTATTTCCTTTGTGTCTTCTGTATTCTTTGTGAAGTAGAAAGTAAAGCCATTTGTTGAGAGAAAAAGGGTGTTCTGAAGTTTTAAGAAAGAGGGAGAGTTCTAAAATAATCTTTGTGGAGAATGAGTTGATCAAGGAAACAGGACTGCCGAGCAATCCTGAGGCTGGTTACTTTCAGCAAGTCATGAATTTCAACACTTCTGGCTGTAGTCTCTGCTACCATGGTCATATCTCCACTGGACTCCTGCAGTAACCGTCCGACTGAGTTCCCGGCTTCCTTTCTCCATCCCCTCTTCTCCCCAACCCAATTTATCTCAAAAAGTGCCTAGAATCATCTTTTACAAGTATAGATCAGATTGTGTTACTTCTCTGTCCAGAACCTTTCATTGACTTCTTATCACACTAAGATTAAATCCAGAATCCATAACCTTGCTTATAAAGCCCTGTGTCAACGTGAACTGCTTCCTGCCTTTCTGCTACTTCATCTCCTACCACTTTCCAGTTGAGCCACGCTGGCCTTACTGTTTCTTGAACAAGTCAGACATATTCCCACCTTGAGGTCTTTGCACTTACTGTTCTCTCAGCCTGTAATATTCTTTTTTTTTTCTAAAAGATGACCGGTAAGGGGATCTCAACTCTTGGCTTGGTGTTGTCAGCACCACGCTCAGCCAGTGAGCAAACCGGCCATCCCTATATAGGATCCGAACCCATGGCCTTGGTGTTATCAGCACCGCACTCTACCGAGTGAGCCACAGGCCGGCCCTCAGCCTGGAATATTCTTCGCTCCCATCTTCCCATCGCTTGCTTATTCTTTCTTCATTCAGGTCTTTGCTCAAATATGAGTTCTTCAGATAGGACTTCCCTGACAGCCCTTTTTTTTTTTTTTTTTTTTTTTTTTTTTTTTTTTTTTTTTTCTAGGGTTTTTTCCAAAATTAGGTTTTTTAAAAAGGGCCCCCGCCGCCCCCCTTTTTTTTTTTTTTTTTCTAGGGTTTTTTCCAAAATTAGGTTTTTTAAAAAGGGCCCCCGCCGCCCCCCTTTTTTTTTTTTTTTTTGTCTTTTTCTGTGTCCGGCAACGGATCGCAACCCTCAGTGTTGACCCCGAACCGGACCAGGGACCGGCAATGGGATTGCAACCCTCGGTGTTGCTCCCGCGCCTCGCTCAGCCAGTGAGCGGGAACCCGTCTGTATGTGGGATCCGAACCCTCGGGCGGGAGCGCCGCCGCACTTCCCAAGCGGTGGACTTATCCAGTGCGCCATCGGGCCGGCCCCCCTGACAGCCCTTTCTAAAACAGCACTCAGCTCAACTCCTTCTTCTGTTTGATTTTTTTCCACGTGGTAGGCACTCAGTAAATGTTTGTCAAATAAATGAATGAATGAACAAATGCATGTATTCATTATCTGAGTTCTCCCTAAAATGTTAGTTCCTTGTGGATAGAGACTTTGTCCTTTTTTTTTTCCTTACCTGTATCTCCACTGCCTGGTCACATAAGTCAGAGTGTATTATTTTTTATTGTTGGTTGAATGAATGAATCATGAATGTGTAGTGGAACCAGTCTGCTCTGTTGTGTCATGCTCAGCTGCACCTCCCATTTACCAACATACTACATTCAAACTTGCGTCCCACTGGTTACTAGATTCAATGAACACTTTTTCAGATTTTTATTACTTTCTGGGTCTTGTTGACACTGCCTTTGTCTCAGTCTCCCATCTCCACTGACACGCCCAGGTTCAGGTGCCCATCACTTCTCACTTAAATGACACCTAACTAGTCTCCCTACCTCCAGAGTACTTGTTCTCTCCTTTCATACTATTGCAAGGATGATCTGTTTAAAAGACACAAAACAATTATGACATTTATGAAACAAGTGAAAATTTGAACACTGGCTGGATATGTGATAATATTAAGGAATATATGTGTGTGTGTATATATTTAATTTATTTAGTTGTATTAAAAGAAATTATATAATGACTGAGAATACATTTTCTTCAAAATAATCCAGGGGTAGGGGAAGTGGATAGGGGTGTGGATGGGTCAGGATTGGCCAGAATTGGACATGGGTTGATGGTTGTTGGAGCTGTTGATGGGTACATTGGACACATTATATTATTTAGCCTACTTTTGTGTATATTTGAAATTATTTGGGATAAAAAAAAAAAAGCCAAGTATGATCACATCCTTCTGCTTAAAAATCTTCATTGACTTCTCAGGCTAAAGTCCAAACTGATATGGCCTCCTTGGTTTTTATTTATTTATTTATTTTAAATTTTATTTTATTTGTTGAATCAAAATTGATTATACATATTTTGGGGGGTTTAACATCGAGATATGTTGATCAAATCAATACTACTAGCATATATATTGTTACAAATAATTATTCTTTATGCCCCTTGTCCAACCTCTCCCTATCCCTCACTCCCTCCCCTCTCCCACCTCTAATTACCCTAGATTTCTTCTCCTTCTGAAAGAATAATGGTTATTTGTTGCCTAGATGATCTGTCCAATGCTGAGAGGTGTGATCAGGTCCCCCAATATTATCATAGAGCAGATGCTTCATCTCTTACTCTGAAATGGCCTTTGTAGAGAGAGACATCCTCTTTTTTTCTTTATCTCTGCTGGTGACTCTCCTTGTGTCAATGTAGTCCAGTGGTTGGCAGACCATCAGCATGGTGGTTGTGGCATCTAGCTGATTTCCCTGCATGGTTATTGTGGTGGCTGTGATGGGCCACCCACATGGAAGTGAGATGTTTTTGGCATGCTCCTTGGCGCTGGCTGTGTGCCTGGTTGTGGGGTGTGCCTGGTCCTTTTCTCTATGCCTTGGGTCACTGGGCAGGCCCCAAGGCACTGGTGTGGTATGCCTAGTTGTAGGAGGGGGGTCCGGTCCCTTTCTTCATGCCTCAGGTCCCTGGTGAGTCCCAAGGTGCTGGCGGTGTGCCTGGATGTCGGAGTGGACCCAGTCACCTTCTTAATGCCTCGGGTCTCTGGGTGGGTCCTGAAGCGCTGGCACAGTGTGCCTGGTTGTGGGAGGGGGGTCCGGTCCCCTTGTCCATGCCTTGGTTACCTGGGCAGGCCCCGAGGCACTGGCATGGTGTGCCTGGATGTGGGAGTGGGGTCAGTCCCTGGCTCCAAGCCTCCAATTCCCAGGCAGGTTCCCACACCCCAAGGTGTGCCTGGGCCAGAACTATGTTTTTGTCCTTTGCTTACTTCGAAAATGGGGAACTTCCTGTGGGAACAAGTACTTGAGCTATGTAGTTGAGTTAAATTGCTGCATTGCTGCTGTTTCCCTAGGGAAGGCTTTTTGTGCAGCTCAGGGTTTAATGGTTGACCTTACAGGTACTTCCGGCTCTCCAGAGACCCGGTGGATCTGTGTTGTGTGGAAACTCTGATCTGGGCCTGAGTTTTTGCATCAAACTGCACGCAATGCAGTTCCGCATTCCTGACCAGTCTCCTCTGAGTTGTACTGTGCTGATTTGGGGGCAGATCAGTTGTCCTTACTGTGCTCCAATGTTCTCCTGGTGGGCCCGTCTCCCCCACTGCCCGTGCTCCAAACACTTCCCATGGGACAGGCCCTGCACCGGTCCCTTGCAATGACTCACCGGCCTCTGAATGGCTCCCTTTTTTCAGTTGTTCTGGCTCCTCACTCCTGCGCGGGTCCATGGGAACACTGTTAGTGGTCTTGCTGTCCTGGGGGCTGGCAAGGCCCTCTTCTCCCCTGCCGCCTCCAAGTAACTCCATCCGAAGGCACACCTGTGGCTTCTGCCAGTTCCTGCTCCATGTGCTCAGCAGCTCCAGGCTTATAGCAGCTGCAGCCTGAAACACTCAGAGCAGTTTTTTTTTTTGTTTTTTTTTTTTTGTCTTTTTTGAGACCGGCTGCACCGTGCTCAGCCAGTGAGTGCTGTGAGCGCACTGGTCATCCCTATATAGGATCCGAACCCGCGGCGGGAGCGCTGCTGCGCTCCCAACGCAGCACTCTCCCAAGTGCTCCATGGGCTTGGCCCAGAGCAGTTTTTTCTTTCTCTCATCGTGGCTTCTCTCCCTTCATGAACTCTGTAGGTCTCGCCTCTTCCCCTGAGCTCTAGTGGCCCCAGCTTGGCTGATGTTACATTTTTATAGTCGTAAATTGGTTGATTTGTGGGAGAGAGTGACGCTGGGAACTATCCCGCCATCTTGACTGGAATTCTCCTCACATGGTTTTTCTTTTTTTTTCTTTTTTCCTTTTTTTTGTCTTTTTTCGTGTCCGGCAATGGATCGCAACCCTCAGTGTCGCGCCCGTACCAGACCGGCAACGGGATCACAACCCTCGGCGCTGCGCCCGCACCTCGCTCAGCCAGTGAGCGGGAACCGGTCTGTATGTGGGATCCGAACCCTCGGCGGGAGCGCTGCCGTGCTCCCAAGCGGCGCACTGTAGCAGTGCGCCACCGGGCCGGCCCCCTCACATGGTTTTTCTGACCTGACCCTGACACCATGTCCAGCCCCAACTTTTGTCATTCATCTTTTCATACTCTGTGTCTAGCTACATTGAGTTTTCCCTGAATTCACGATATTCCTTCATGTTTCTGTGCCTTTGCATATGCTGTTCCTCAGGCCGGAGTGCCCTTCCTGCTCTTTTGCTTTACCTAGCCCTTCCATACCTAGGTCAGGTATCTCCCTCTCCAGCAAGCATCCCCTGAAGTGAATGGAAACATATTGTATTCTCAGATTGTGTTGTAATTGTCTGTTTCCCTCCGCTGGACTTTCAGCTCCTTGAAGACAAGGACCTCTATATACAAGTGTTTGGCACTCAATGTGATTGTTGAATAAATGGTTATTTATCTTTAAATTCCTATCACCCAGCATGGCACTTAACTCATGCTCAGTAAACGTTTATTGAATGAATGTTGCTGAATAGGAATACTGTGTTTTTGCTTGGTGGTGTAGATGCAGGAAGCTGTGTTCCTCACAACCTTGAGCTAAGTAGGGGATGGTAGTTACGGTAGAAGAGCTGGGGAATCATCTGGATTATTTTTTCCCAGCTTTTGTTTCTTCCCTACAGGCATGGGTTGGAATTGGAGCCTATCCCCCAACCCGAAGGCAACCAGCACCATGTGGCTTCTAACTGCTCCTCATTCACCTATTGATGCCTCCCAGAAAAAAACGCCGCCAACGTTCCCAGAAAGCCCAGCTGCTATTCCACCAGCCACCACTGGAGGGCCCCAAACACCGCTATGGATCTCCACAGCGTCCAGTCACCCACACCCGTCTGGTGCCCAGCAAGCCCATTGACCACAGTACCATCACTTCCTGGGTAGGCCCGTGGGATTCTTGCTTTGACTTCTACTCTGTCAGGCTTTTCAGAATGCTGACTATTCTGTCCCTTGAACCAGAGCCTCCAAAGAATGAGAAGATTCATGGGGCAGGGACAAAGAGGCAAAGTCCTCTTTCTGTCTGCATTCAGCTGTTTTCCCTGGAATCTCTTCATTTCTCAGTTCAAATTGAGGTATGGATAGGACGCAATTGTAGTCGTCCCCCCGCATTCCTCTGAAGGAGTTCAGTGTAAAAGTTTCACTGCCCAGGAGCTGGATGAGAGAGCCAGGCAGATGGCAGCATGAGTAAAACATGAGATTGTTCCCTGAACTTTATGTGGGAGGGAAGCATTTAGCTAAGTACTCTGTCTACTGCTTAATGGATCGAACCTTGAAAACAAAAATCCACAGAAATGGCATATGACATATTTCGACAGTCTAAAAGGCCTGGGAAGAGAACATAGCTACAATGATGGGTAAGCAGTATAGCAAAACGGCCAGATAAAAGCACAAGCTTTGCTGAGGGTTATTTAATAAATATACCTTGCTCAGGACTGCTTGGAAGAACCATAATACTTGCTTCAGGATTGTGGAAGAAATTTAAACATTAGAATCCTGTGGTGAGAATAGGAATGAGCATTTATTGAATACTCATTATGTATACAGCTTTCTATGTAAATTGCTTTCTTCATAGTCATGCATCCGTTAACAATGGAGATACACATTTCTTTTTTTTTATCTTATTTATTGAATCAAAATCAATTATATATATTTTTTGGGGTTGAACATTGAGATATGTTGATCAAATCAATATTACTAGCATATATATTGTTACAAATCATAATTATTCTTTATGCCCCTTGGCCAATCTCTCCCCTTCCCCCCTCTCCTCCCCCTCCCCCCTCTAATTACCCTAGATTTCTTCTCTCCTTCTGAAAGAATAATGGTTACTCTGTTAACTTGTTGCCTAGATGATCTGTCCAATGCTGAGAGATGTGATCAGGTCCCCCAATATTATCATAGAGCCGACGCTTCTTCTGTCACTCTGAAATGGGCTTTGTGGAAAGAGACATCCTTCTTTTCCTTGTCTCTGCTGGTGACTGTTCTTTTGTGAATGCACTCCAGTGGTTGGAGGACTATCCGCATGGTGGCTGTGGCGCCCAGCCGCTTTAGCAGCAGCCATGGTTATTGTGGTGGCTGTGGTGTGGTGGCTGTGGTAGGCCACCCACGTGGAGGTGCTGTTTGGGGCATGCTCCTTGGCACTGGCGGTATGCCTGGTTGTGGGGTGTGTCTGGTCCCCTTCTCCATGCCTCTGGTCCCTGGGCAGGCCCCAAGGCTCTGGCACCATGTGCCTGGTTGTGGGAGAGGGTCCAGTCCCCTTCTTCATGTCCCCGGTCCCTGGGCGGGCCCTGAGGTACTGGCGCAGTGTGCTTGGTTGTGGGAGGAGGGTCCAGTCCCCTTCTCCATGCCTCGGGTACCCAGGTGGGCCCTGAAGTGCTGGCGTTTTGTACCTGGTGTGGGAGGAGGGTCCAGGCCCCTTCTGCATGCCTCTGGGCTGGGTGGGCCCTGAGGTGCTGGCATGGTGTGCCTTGTTGTGGGAGGAGGGTCTGGTTCCTGGCTCCATGCCTTGGGTCACTGGGTGGGACCCAAGGTGCTGGCTTGGTGTACCTTATTGTGGGAGGGAGGTTCGCTCCCCTTCTCGATGCCCTGGGTCCCTGGGTGGGCTCTGAGGTGCTGGCATGGTGTGCCTGGTTGTGGGAGAGAGGTCCAGTTCCCTTCTCCATGCCTCAGGTCCCCGGGCAGGCCCTGAGGCACTGGTGCAGTGTGCTTGGTTGTGGGAGGGAGGTCTGGTCCCCTTCTCCATGCCCTGGGCCCCTGGGTGGGCTCTGAGGTGCTGGCATGTTGTGCCTGGTTGTGGGAGGGTGGTCTGGTCCCTGACTACATACCCCGAGTCCCTGGGTGGGCCCCAAGGTGCTGGCTCAGTGTGCCTGGTTGTGGGAGGGGGGTCCAGTCCCCTTCTCCATGCTTCAGGTCCCCAGGCTGGCCCTGAGGCACTGGTGCAGTTTGCTTGGAAGTGGGAGTGGAGTCTGGTCCCCATATCTGAGCCTCTGGTTCCCAGGCAGGCCCCAAGGTGCTGGTGGTGTGCCCAGGCCGGAACTAGTTTTTTGTCCTTTGCTTACTTCTAACAGGGGGGAACTTCCTGTGGGAACAAGTACTTGAGCTGTGTGGTTGAGGTAAATTGCTGCTTTGCTGCTATTTCCCTAGGGAAGACTTTTTCTACAGCTCAGAGTTTAATGGCTGATCTTATAGGTACTTCCGGCTCCCCAGAGACCCGGTGGATCTGTGTTCTGTAGAATCTCTGATCTGGGCCTGAGTTTTTTCATCAAACTGCACCCTTTGCAATTCTGCATTCCTGACCAGTCTCCTCTGAGTGGTCCTGTGCTGATTGGGGGGTAGATTGGCTGTCCTTGTTGTGTCCCAGTGTTCTCCCAGTGGGCCCATCTCCCCCACCACCCGTGCTCTAAACACTTCCCATGGGATGGGCCCTGCGCTGGTCCCTTGCAATGACTCACCAGCCTCTGAATGGCTCCCCTTTTTTCAGTTATTCTGGCTCCTCGCTCCGGCGTGGGTCCATGGGAACCCTATTAGTGGTCTTGTCCTGGGGGCTGCCAAGGCCCTCTTCTCTTTTGCTGCCTTCAAGTAACTCCATCTGAAGGGCACAGCTGCGGCTTTTGCTGGCTCCTGCTCCATGCGCTCAGCAGCTCCAGCCTTAAAGCAGCCACGGCCCAAAATGTTCAGAGCAGTTTTTTCTTTCTCTCATCGTAGTTTCTCCCACCTTCATGAACTCCATATCTCTCTTCTCCTCTTCCCCTGAGCTCCAGTGCCCTGGCTTGGCTGATGTTACATTTTTATAGTTGTAAATTTGGTTGATCTGTGGGAGAGAGTGACGCTGTGGACCGTCTATTCCTGGAGATACACATTTCTGAGAAATGTGTAGTTAGGCAATTTCATCATTGTGTGAACATCATAGAGTATACTTAAACAAAGCTAGATGGTGCGGCCTACTAGTACACACCCTACTACTCACCTAGGCTATATGGTACTGCCTGTGGCTCCTAGGCTACAAACCTGTACGACATGTTACTGTACTGAATACCGTAGGCAACTGTAACACAATGGTATGTATTTGTATATCTGAACATATCTAAACATAGAAAAGGTACAGTAAAAATATGGTATAAAAGATAAAAAATGGTGCGCCTGTAAAGGGTACTTACGTTCATGGAGCTCGCAGGACTGGATGTCGCTCCGAGTGAGTCAGCGAGTGAGTGGTGAGTGAATGTGAATGTGCTACTGTTGACTTTTAAAACACTTTATAATTAGGCTACACTAAACTTATGAGAAAATAAATTGCACTACAACGTCATAAGGCAATAGGAAATTATCTGCTCCATCACAATCTATGGGACCACCGTCATATGTACAATCCATCCTTGACTGAAATGTTATGTGGTGCATGACTGTACATGATCTCACTCCCTATTCTTGCAGTCAGCTATTCATTATTTACTGAGGGACTTCTTTGTGCCAGGCACTCTGCGAGGTGCTGGGGGTCAATGTGAACAAGACTGCTGGTCCCTGTCCTCATGATGTTTATAGACAGTTGTACAAGTGGCAGCCAACCACATGGCAGGAGGAACTGAGAGGCATTGTCCCTTCTTACACATGAAGAAACTGAAAGCCAGAAACATGGAATAAGTTGCCTAAAGCTCATATCCCTTTCATTATTATCCCATTAGACAGCTATTTTTGTTTTGTGTCCATTACTATAGTGGGCCCCCATTAGCATTCTGGTTATTGGATATAAGTTTCCTCTCTTAGCTTAGTGCTTGGAGTTGGCTCGCCTGACCTTTTTTTTTTTTTTTTTTCCTTTCCCTTAGGTAACTCCTCAGTTTGACACAACGGCAGAAAACTGGCTTCCAGCCCACCAGAAACATCATCACCGAGGCCAAGCAAGACGTTCGAGTAGAAAATCTACCACCTCCAAGTTTCCATGTCTAACCTTTGAGATTCCACAATCTTCTTCCAGTTCAGAGACATTGGATATCCCCTTAATCAGGGAATGCCCCAATCAATCAGAAAAGGATGTTTCCAGAAGGCCCTTAGTTCCAATGCTCAGTCCCCAAAGCTGTGGGGAACTGTCAGCACACACACTTCAGAACTTACCTTGTGTGTTCATTCCACCTGACATTCAGACCCCAGAATCATCTTCTGTAAAGGAAAAACCCATTCCCCCAGATCAGAGGGAAAACATCCTTTCAGGCTGCTCCCTTCACATTAGCACTCCCAACAGCCCACATCCTGGGCCTATTCTGGTTAAAGACACCCCCAAGGAGAATTATGGGATAAAGGTCACATGGAGGAGACGTCGGGACCTGTTTGCTTACCTCAGGGAGACAGGGAAGCTGAGCAGAAGCCAGTTCCTTGTGAAAAACTGACGGATTTCTCAGACATCAGTCTTTCTCATCAGCAGTCTCAAGAAATTGAATTGATTGCTGATTTTTATAGAGTTGCTAAAGTCACTTTTGTGGCTCTCAAGAGAGTAGATCAATAGAATAAAATGGAAATAACAGTAGAAAAAAGACATTTTAGGGGCCGGCCCGTGGCTCACTCAGGAGAGTGCGGTGCTGATAACACCGAGGCCATGGGTTTGGATCCCATATAGGGATGGCCGGTTAGCTCACTGGGTGAGTGTTGTGCTCATAACACCAAGTCAAGGGTTAAGATCCCCTTACTGGTCATCTTTAGAAAAAAAAAAAAAAAAAAATTTTAACTAGAGCCTAGAGTCATAAGGAAATTCAGTTCCCAGGTTTGCTTTTTAAGATACCTTGTATCATAAACAGTTTAGTGTCATGAACTATTCACTCCATATTTTTCCTGTATTAACTATTTAAAAATTTAAAATATCTTGTAGTAATTGTTTAAAATGTACGTAAATTGTTGCAGAAAGTTTTTAGAGAATCCTGCTTCTGTCTGTAATACAGCAATATTGCCCTATTTGCCGTGTCCACAAAAGGTCTTTCTTGTTTCCTTTAACCACTACTCATTAATCCTTTAATCACCTCATTCAGACTAATTCATTCCACACTTTTGAGTAGCAAGTCTGTCAGGCTCAATGGCAGCTTCCTCTGTGACTGGATAGATGGGAAAAATTAAAGCAAACTCTGACTTTTTATGGTTGATGGCCACCTCTGCAACCTTGTTCATCTGCACAAAGGGCAACACGAAGAAAGGACGGCAAGTCCGATTTTAGCGAATACAGTGGGATCAGAGGAGATAAAGGAGACATAGCTGAGTTACTTAGGTTTCCTTGTGTTTTCAGTTTTTGTTTCCAACTGAAGAAATCTATAAATATTAAATAGGGTGGAAAAATGTTTTTGTATAGTAATTGTTTAAACTGTATGTAAATAAACATGGAAAGTTTTCGAAGAACACTACTTCTCATTGTAATTAACGCAGTACTGTCCAGTCAGCAAAATGTCTCAGTTGTCCTTTTACTCATACAAATAGCATCTCATTCAGGGCCAGCCCGTGGCTCAACTGGGAGAGTGTGGAGCTGACAACACCAAGTCAAGGGTTAAGATCCCCTTACCGGTCATCTTTAAAAAAAAAAAAAAAAGACAAATAGCATCTCATTCAGGGCCAGCCCGTGGCTCAACTGGGAGAGTGTGGAGCTGGCAACACCAAGTCAAGGGTTAAGATCCCCTTACCGGTCATCTTTAAAAAAAAAAAAAAAAGACAAATAGCATCTCATTCAACCCCATTCATTCAGCATTTAAGGACCTACTGTGTCAGGTCGAGTCCCAGCTAGGTCAAGCAGGGATTATGCTGCTTAATGTATAGATGGGAATTTGAAGCACGGAGTGTGAACCATATTCAGGGTCACACTGGGTGGAGGTTGGTCCAGTAAAGGCAACGCCGAGTTCTCCTAGCTTGCCAAGTTCCCTGTTTCCTAAAAAATTAACTTCTGGATTCAAAACCAATGTGGAAACAACTTTGACTTGGGAATGCTGTAAAGTAAACGTGTCAGGATGTTCTGTAGGGACTCTAATGCTATGTGTACATAGCGAGGAAGGAACTGATGGTTGGGGACATGATTTATTGGACAGAAGAGTACAGATTTAGATAATGAATCTCGTGGGATATGGATGTTTGAAGATGGTCCATAGGCAGTAGAGAGAGAAGCAGATGGAAAGATTCTCCGGATTCTCTCCTGTGCTTTAGGAGAGTCTGTAGGGCGCACCTAAAAGCTTGGGCTGGAGTAGGGAAGGCTGAAGGCGTTTTGTGCAGTTGAGTGCGAGGCCAGGCTATGAAAGAAAGATGCATTTCACCAGGAATGACTGCTGCAGAGGGCAGCAGTTTGGTTCCAGAAGGCCTCTGGCACCAGGGAAGGGGCCAGATCTCGAAGGAGCTGGCGGCAGAGGTCTGAAAATCCTTACAGGACAGATCCCTGGACGCGCTCTGGGTGGTCTCTGGGCAGAAATAGCGGGGATGAGGGGAGCAGTTCTGTGTGTGGCAGTGGTGCGGGATGGACGGCTTCCCCCACGGACTCGCTCCGGCTGCGGGGTCCGCAAGGAGCCCCGCAGCTGACGCGAACACATCCCTCCGCCCTCGGCCCTGGCTGGGCGCAGCGCTCGGGAGACCAAGCTCAGGCGCGTCGCCCGGTCCCCGCCCCCGCGCAGGCGCTTTTGGCTCCGGGCGCCTCCGCCCCTAGAAACCCTCCCGCATCGCCGGCTGGCGGCAGCAGCCAATGAGGCAGGCGCGGC